TTTATTGTGCACAGGCCCTGTTTGCACACACTTTGAATGTCCTCATACAGACTATTTGGTGAAGGCTTGGGTGGAGCAGTAACCACAAACTAAAAACATACCAACACACACACACACACACACACACACACAGATATTACAACAGGAAGATCACCAGTTTTGTTTTAAAGATGCTGCAAAAATTACAGGGTTTTAATTCAGAGGTTCAGAAGAACAAAGTTGGAACCCTTTGTTTGCTCCGTCTGATCATTAATATGTATTTTCTTCTTTGGAGGAGTTGGAATCAAACTGCTCTCTTAGCTTAAAGTGAAAACTGGTTCAGTTTTAAAGACACTGTTCTCTGCTGAGGATCTGACTGTCTACTATAAGTGGGTAACCAACAGGCTTCAAGTCACTGCACCGTTCTGATCCTGTGACAGAGGCGTGCCTGTGCTGCAGGTGATATGGATATGCCTTCAGGGGGTACAGAGGCAAAGCCAGGGTGTAGGAAGTGAATAGAAAGGAGCGACAGTGCAGAGCTCTGATACCTGAACCTATGTGGGTCAGCGGTCACATGATTCACCTCCTAAAACACTGAAACTCTTTCAGCACAGGTCTGGCAGGGAAGACATTTTAATATAATTTTAACTGGAATAATTTTAAAGAAACAGATATTTGGTTTTTTTTTCGCACAGTGGAGCACATTTAACACATATCAATTTATTAAATCTTTTTATATCTTAAAATGACACAGTGTTATTGCTTTTGTTTCTCTGGGGTTTATCTGTTTCACACAAATAAATTAACGCAACAAAATCTATTTAAAAAAACACACAAAATTCATATCCATACATTTGCTTTTGTATCCCAGAAAAGACTATATGCTAGATCAGTATAAGGCATCACTGTTTACATTTTGATCACTTTATTGCACTTTATTGTTCTGTTTCACTGCTAAGCTACTACTAAAAAAGAATTAACTCTCGTATTCACTGTCGTAAAGCTGTATAAAGGAAATTTCGTTTTGTATACACAAATGACAATAGAGTTTTGTCAAAGTCTGGTGTTACAGGTTTACTTTATTTTCACTGTTTAAGTACCATGTGCCATTTTTCTGTGCTTACACATCGCATGCTCTCTGACCTGTGAAAAAACCTGTCTTGCAAAACCTCTTTCTCATTGCAAACTTTTGCACTTGCTCATATAGTGCAGGTCTCCTCCGCAGAGGGCTCTGTTCCATTTAATGGTTAGATTTCAAACTATATTTTAAATAGCTGATTATTAATTTATTAAATGCAATTCAATTCAGTTTATTTATATAACGCCAATTCACAACACATGTCATCTCAGTGGACTTTACCAGATCATACAGTCAAATTCATTCAAACTTTTATAAAACTTTCTCAAGTATATATATATACATTTAGCTAAAATTTATCAGATGTACTGGAATATAAATTAGTATAAAAGCAGCAAAAAGCCATAGAAAATCCTTAAAACAAAGCTTGCTCACCAGTTGATCCATGTCAATAAACATCTGTCGTTTTTTTCCCCCAGTAGTAAAGCTTTTCATCTCCATATATACAAATATACATGCATATGCATTTATAATGTTGAGTGAAGTCAAAGAGGATTAAGGCACAGATTGGAACACAGAATTAGGAAAGTTAGAAACTATCTCCATATGGACACACTGGACAATTTATTTACACCTTGCTATTACCTTTCCTAACTCTCTTGCCTTTAAACTTTCCTTAATTCTTTATCACTTAGATCTTTCAAGGGATAATTTGTTGCATATTGATATGATAGCATCACACTGTTGCTGTAGATTTATGATAATAATTTACCGTTTCACCAAATCCTGACGCCAGTTTATCCTGTTAAGATCTAGTGGAAAACACTGGAGGGAACTCATATCAAGCTAAATAAATCTTGGAGACTCAGGTATGTTGTGTGGTTGGAAATAAACTTTGTTCAAGGTGCGCAAAGAAAATAATTCCCAGACCGTTAAATAGCCACAATGTGCCCGAATCTCTATAAACCAGAACAATGGTTGTATATAAAAAACAGATTCTGAGATAGTCACTAAAAGAAATTATGCCTCACTCTGATGATCAGTTTGGACCTCAGGAAGTTTTCTTCGTTACATTAAAAGGCCTACATGCATTCAGTTGCTGCTGATTTCCTCTATGTTTTAAGCCGCCACCATTGTGTTGCACATCTTATATGTATTGCTGCAGCTTTTACTGGTTTTATTTTCCCTAGTTTTTGAATAAGATGTCCATCCATCTATCCATTATCTGACATGCTTGTCCCAATTGGGGTCGCAAGGGGTGCTGGTGCCTATCTGCTGCATAAAATGTGTCTTTATATATATAAAAAACTTCAAAACCTCTTTAATTCAATCAAGGCATATCTAATTACATTTCCATGCTTGCTGAGGTTACCTGAGGTCTGCTCTGGATGGGTGTGGTTGGCATCCCTTAACAGTAAAAGCTGCATTCATAGTTTACTCTGAATCTCCTCCCCACACTAAAAGAAAAAAACAGGACTGGAAAGAAACTGTGAGAAGAGCTGCTGTCATTTATCCGCAGCACCGTCAGCCATGCCCTGAATATAAACTTGGCATCTTTCAGAGAGAAAGTTGCTGTTTGCAAATGGCTCTTTTCTCTCTAATGCATATTTTCTCACATTCACCTAGACTGTGATATCTGACACCTCTTAGAGACCGCTGAAGTTAGTATCTGGTTTGAGCTAGACTGAACAGCTCCATTATTTAAAATAAATCAGGGCTTCTTTGTGTTAGTATATGTGTACTGCTCACATTCTTTACATGATCAAACTTGAGTATAATAATTGTAATTTTTTTAAATTGAAATTTATTCATCTCACATTGGAGGAATTTACCTCTGCATTCAACCCATCCCCTTGTGGAGCAGTGTTCTGCCATTGTGGGGTGCCCAGGGAGCAATCAGGGTTAAGGGTCTAGCTCACAGGGCCAGAGTGGCATTCTGTCGGAGTTGGTTTCAAACTCACAAACTCAGGATTCCAAGCTCTATGCCCTAACCAATAGGCCGACACTCTCCCTTAAAGAAGTACTGCAATACCAGGTTGATGCATGGAGTGGACGACGCAAGCCCCTATTCCATCTCCCTGTTCCAAAAAAATCATTTAATTTATGGTCCTCGGGTAGGGGACGTATCAGATAAACTGATAAGAACAGATACTACACTTGATCTTGGACAAAAGGCCAAAGTAGACTATTTTTCACTCTATGCCATTTCTATAGAGCAGTCTGTCAGCTTTACATGTTTAGATGTGTCTATAAATTCATAATAAAGGAATTTTAAGTATCCCTCTTGACTTTATCACCATCTTAGATGGTCTTCAGTTTTTTAATTACAATTCCTGTTCATGTCACATCCTAATAAAACAAATATGTACGACAATGACACTAAATTAAATTGAACAAATTCATAAACAACACTGGGCAAACCTGGACAAAGGCATTACACACTAAAGAGTCGTTCTTTAAAAAAATTTTCAGAAGCTTTCTTTAATTTTATTTGAAGATGTTTACCCCCTGGTTGGGTCCATCTTAAAACTAGGAGATGAAGAACATAAAATCGTTATAGTTGGTCTCTTTTCATTAAAGCCGTGTAATTCTGTTTCACACCCTTTAATCTGAAACCTACAGACTGGATGCTAACTTCTGAGCATGATCATGTGTGAAAATCTCAATTCTCAAACTTGTGCTGGACCAGCTAGACAAAAATGTTACCTATTTTAATAAACCTTTAAATCTAATTTGCCTTTGCACTCATTTTACATTTTTTTATTTTCTCTACATGTCTGATTAAGACCTGCATAGATTCAAGGTTCATAATGTGATGGTCAGTTGCCCTCTAGTGGCTAACAGGCAGAAAGAAGTAAAAAAAAAAAAAAAAACATCCACCTTACTAATCTATTTTGATAGGGAAATGTTTTGAAAGTATATGACACATCATCACTGAATAAGTAGAGAGCAACAGGAGAACAAATCCTAAAGCGCAGATAAACAAATGACAATGAATTTGCATCTAAAAATATGTTTCTAAACATAAGCATGTATTAGGTGGAAATATAGATGTAATTAAATACATAAATACTGGGCAATCTTGGAATAAAAATGAGAGAGTGGCTGAACTAAGTTTTATTTTGAGGTATCAAAGTAAAGGGTAATGAATATACACCAAGGAGGATTCAGAGTAGAGCCGCTGCACCTCCATGTCAAGAGGAGCCACTTGAGGTGGCTCAGGCATGTGGTTAGGATGCCTCCTGGGAACACCTTGGGGTTCCCTCGTAGGAGCTGGCCAAAGTGGCTGGGGAGAGGGACGTCTGGGCCTCCCAACGGAAGCTGCTACACCTGTGACCCGACCCTGGATGAGCGGAAGAAGGATGGATGGAATATACACTACATATATCGCCCTTTAGAGCTCACAGTGGTTATAGGTTGCCACAACCCTGGATAAGGGTCAATGTAATGGTGGGCTGACTGTAACACTGTAGTGTTACAGTCCTGTAACTGTAGAACTAGGGGATTATCTGGTAGTTTAGTCTGGATGGCATTTTCATCCCCCTAATGAAATCATATGAAACCTGCTTTTGTAGTTTCTGTTTTTCTCATTGTCTTGTGTTGGATATTCAACTATGTGACAAATAGTATTGCACCGATACCAGTATCGGGCAGGGCCCAAATACTGCACTAAAATTGTGGTATTGGCGAGTAGGGCACCGATTCCATTTTGGGAGCCAAAAGTTTATTCAACTATTGTCACCCATTTCAGTTAGGCAATAAAAAGTTCTACTGGATTCACTTCATATTAGTCTTTTTCCTGCTTTATAAAGGTAGTCAGCAGCTTGACAAAGCCATGATGGCAATTATTTTACATCCAAGTAGTATGCAGCTCTTCATATACACATACACACACATCAATTTCAAACAGATAGTATCGGTATGGTATCGGCCAATACTGCACAGCCAGATATCAGGTATCGGGGCAAAAAAATGGCATCGGCGCAGCACTAGTGACAAACACAGTCAGCCCACTGTGAGATGCAGGAAGCTCAGCCAGTGGGAAGTTTTGTCTTTATAAGTGGGGTCCCTACAAAGTTTTAAACAGCCACTTTCTATTTAACAGACAAAACAAGAAGAAGATTGGAAAGAGTCAACGAATTAAATACATGTAAGACAACTAGAGATCCCCCTTATTGTCTCATACTTTGGGGGTGTAGATGTGTCAGAAGCAAAGCAAATAAACAGTGGCAGCATACAGAAACAACAAGAATATTGGCGAGGTCAAAAACTGCGCTACAGGCCTTTCTTCAGAACAAATAGTGTTTGAAAAAAAACATAAACATTACACTGTACAAAATGGGGGCAGATTGGACAATTTAGGCTTAATTTAAGCAAAATGACCACAAAACTGAGTTTTCTTTGTTTTCTCAAAGTTTATTCGATAAGCATCCAAATCTGCTGTATATCTGTGCTTGGATGAGAGTCAACTGGAAGTAGTTTTAACTGCAACAAAAAGGAGATTGATGAAGTACTGGTTGGCTGTGTGAGATGTATACTCACAAAAAGAGGAACATAAACAGGTTCTGTTCGAAGAGGATTTCTCCAGCCCCTAAAGCTAATAAAACCCTGATTTAAGGTCTCTGTTAACAGGAAAAAACAAGACAGAACCAAAAACAACAGCAGAACTAGCATAAGGCGAAATACTTGACTTATTTATGACTATCTAAGTCGTTCTATTGTTTGTAAACTGTTTTATAACCTTTTAACGACTGGTAGCAGTGCAAATTAGGATCCTTTGATCTCTCTACAAACCGTAGCTTTGGTTAAACCATATGCACATACATTCATTGGATTCTTGATGCTTTAAAAACAAATGAATGAAAATATTACTGAGAAAAAGTTAAACTTAAAAAGCGCGGTGTCGAAAACAATTTAAAATGATTCATCGTCTTATTGGCCTCACAAAAAAATGACATTGTCAGTCTCCTGAAAATGAAATTTTTACAGCTTGTAATCAATTAAACCATCCTCATCATTTGGCGTCGTCATTCAGATGAACTATGGGGAGCTCTGGGAAGGTCATCTTTTGATTTCCACGCACTGTGATGATTCAGGACAGCAGTTCCTTTTTTATCAATTAGAAAAGTATTTGTTTTAACCTGGACGTCCATATCAATACTGAAGTGGAACAGCTGTTTCCTCTTGTTCTTGCTCTTCATTAAGGCGGTCTAGAGTCATTAGAATTTCGGTTTTGGCCCTTCGTCGTCTGCATTTATTTAAACTGAGAAGCATTGGCACAGTGCTGAGAGCAAAGTGATATGCTTCATCATGTTCAGTAATAGGCACATGTGGTTTCGTAGGTGGTTCTTCTAAAAAAGAAATGATTCGCTCCTCGAGGTCTGTAACTTGCATGGAGCTCCTCTTCCTGCTTTCCTTTGCACCATGTTGACCCCGTGTTTCTGCTGCCTTCCTACTGGGGCTGAGGGACTTACGGGGAGGAGAGGGTGATGATGCAGTTCTTTGATGCTGCAAAGTATCTTGGGTAGTGGATTGCTCCTCAGATCCAGCTCGTGACAGAGGGGTCCAGAATTTCTCTCCATCTACATCTACTAAAGTTGAAGCCTGCAAGCTGCGTTTGGATCTGCAACAAACAGTAAAAAAAAAAAAAAAAAAATACAGAGAGAAAAAATATCTCATTAAATATCATAATAACAGATTGCATAGGAAGATGTTTGCATGCAATTTTAAGCAATTTCCAATAGTAGAGAATACAAAGTTAGTTATAATAGCTAAATTTACGACATTACAGTTTTGATTTTATAGAATTGGGCACCAAGACTCGATTGTAACCGGTTCTCACCTTTCAATTCTACCTGAATGGTTTGAATTTTTCATTTTTGATTCCTTATTTCGATGCCCAGTCCGCCGACCGGAAGTAGAAGCCCCCAGATTACCAACGAAGAAGAATCCACAGTAGTGTTGCGCGCAGCTGCAAGTACATCTCGTGCGGCGGTAGTTTGAAGCGTCACATTAATTAACTGTGGGCTGGTTTGATTTCATTCAGAGGGAGGCCCGGAATAATGGATTAATACTGCTTTGGCTCGATGCACCGGTGTTGTGCCGCGATGTGTTCCCCGTGGGAATGTTTCCCCCTGCATTCAGGGCGCGCTCCTTCAAGGAAAAGCGGAGCTTTTTAAATTTGGTCTCTTTGTAAATTATATCTTAAATAAAAACGTACTTGTTTTTACGACTGAGTATTAGGGCCAGGCTAGAAATTTGTTTTCTTCTGTTTCGAGAATAAAGTCTTAACATAACGAGAATAAATTCGTAACATCATGAGAATAAAGTCGTTATATTAAAAGAATAAAGTAATAAAATTACGAGAATAAAGTAATAGAATTACGAGGATAAAGTAATAAAATTACATAAATTAACTCGTTATATTACAAGAATAAAGTGGTTAAATTACAAGAATAAATTTTTAACATTACGAGAATAAAGTCCTAAAATTACGACAAACAAGTTGCATTTTATGAAAACTCTTACAAAAAGCACCGTCTTCCCTAAAATGAAGAATTTCGAGCATCATGTGAAGTGATGCTTGCACATGATGCTTGACATTTGAAGTGAATTGAACAATGCTCATTTGTTAGAACTTTAAATATACAGTCATATGTTTATATTACGGTTTATATATATATATTTCTTACTATTTTTCAAGGCTGCACTTTAAAAAAAA